AATATCGGAATACATCTTCACCTCCACCTCGGTTGGTTTATTCTTATCGCGGCTTTTCTCATGTATTGTTTATTTTGGTAGACTTAATTATTATTGTATAAGTTGTATCATGTAGTTTACTTGCAAATCCTCTTGCTAAATAAAAGATTAAAAATTGTAGTCACCTCTTCATTCCTCTAATCAAATGCCAATGTCTTAGTCCTTTAGACACACACATATATCATTAGTTAATACTTAAAACTTTACAAATAAATTGAATAACCAATTTAAAAGGCCGGATTACCCAGCTAAAATCATCATATTAGTAAATGATATCATATATCATATCCTACGATGACTCATTGTGTTTAAATATCTCTTACCCTATCTATATTACCTGATTTGAAAATGGTTCTGATAAAAACTCATCCTAACCATTTTCACAAGTAACTCCTACTAAACAGTCAAAAATCTCGACTTTTCCCAAACTACCAAATTTCAGCAATATCTGCTACTTGGAGATCAACATTTTGTCACTCATCCAACCACATGAATTGAGCTAACACAACTGTATCATCGTGCAAACTGAGCGTAACTCAGATAATTAGTTTTGTTGTGGTGGAGCTAGCCTACCTGGGTTCAAGTAATTGACTTGGCACTGGTGTTCGCGTTTTTCTGAATTTATTTTAGACTTCCCGACGATGTTCGTTTAGTATGAGGTATTTTCCTCAATCACAAGACGCGTGTGATATCTCGGAGGTGCTCATAGGAATAGGTTATGCGTGCGTCCGTGCGTTTGTGTGTACGTGAATATTTATGATTATACATTTTCATAATATGATAGCGTTTTTGACATTAGGGAGTAGTGTTTAGAAGAAAAAAAAACTATATCAGTCACAGCAAGCGATGAAAAAAAAGATACAGGTGTCACAAAACAACAACAGTTACAGTGATACCATTACTGCGCCCGACGCTTAAGCACTTTGCCCTCTCACCAGTCACCACACGGGAGACTTCCGGAAAGCCCTAGCCAGATCGACATGGCATCCCCGCCGCCGTCGCCGGAGCCGGACTGGGCCGGCCTCCCTGATGATGCCCTGCTTACAGTGTTCGAGCGCCTGGGCGCGCCGGAGGTGCTCATGGGCGCCGGGGTCGTGTGCCGCAACTGGCTCCGCGTCGCCACCGGCGAGCCCGACCTCTGGCGCCGTGTTGACCTGTCCGACTGCTTCGACCCCACCATCGACATGGTGGCCATGGCGTGCGCAGCCGTCGACCGCGCCGACGGCCGCCTCGAGCACTTTGCCGCCGACTGTTTCGTCACCGATGCGCTGCTCTTCTACATGGCCAAGAGGTAGCGACCCTTTCTGCTTCTCTGTAGGATTTGGGAGAGATTAGTCGCTGTGGTTTTGGAGACCTGTGCCCACTGTGATAACTTATTTGGCTTTAGGGTTTCGTTAATCCTGCTCGCTGTTCTGGATTTCTGATCCTAGTCTTTTTGGTGGATAGTGATCCTGTTATTAGGATTAGCAGGACTAGGTGTTCATATTTGTAGTGGGGTACTACTACAGTGTGACATGGCAGTTTCAGAAGAATTGGGGAACGTTCTTAATTTTAGTTTTGGGGCCCTAGTCTTGATTTATTGTAGTTCTCTTTTCTTTTTGAGAACGTTGAAAGAGCAGGGTGCTCATGCATTTCATCAGAAGGAACTAGGCCAAAAACCATACAACATCTGATGCGAAAGCCCCATCGCTGATCAATGCCACACCACAAACACACCAAGTTATAGTGCTGCTGAGTCAATATTCCACTGCTCACTCAGGAGCCACACCGCTAAATAACCCGGATCCCCGCAGCCATAGCTGCACAGAATGTCCACCAGCAATCCATGGCCACCGCACCCCACCAACATCCGGGGCCCTTCCCCCACCTGGTTGAGTCGACCAGGCAGACAAACACTGCCGCCCTCACGTCACAAGGTCACTGCCCCATAGAGCCGTCACTGCATTGCTTTCCAAGCCACCCCCGGTGAAAAACCGACCATCTAGGACTGCTGATCTGGTGTCCACCGACAAGAGAACCTCATGCGACCTCGCAAGCCCCTGCCGGTCCATATGGGTGTAATTTTGATTTGGTGGATGTGATTTATGACTTTGTGAGTTTGTGCGATAATGTGTGTTCTTATATTAGAATTAGTATCCACTATCCAGTATGTGCAAGAATCTAATTCTGATGCACCGCTAAAAAATGGGTGAGATACAGAACCAAAAATTGGGATGATTGGTGCTGCATTGTGGCCTCGGCTGCACGACGCTCTTCAGTCTCAACGGCAGCACATCAGTGCTATCCTGAGGTCTCGGTTATTTGATGCCTTTCGACTGCCGGCGGTGCTCCTTGGCACTGTGCTTGGTGTCAGCTTGTTCTTTCCGGCCCACCCAGTGGTTTTTGTGCCTACGGTGTGGTGAGGTCTTGCTCCTCACCTGGCTTTGCTATTGGTAGAAACTAGGGTTCTACCGGGTCTAGGCCGGAGGTTGTAGGGGAAGGAGGGAGTTGGTCGTGGACGAACACGCGGACGCCGGCGGCTGGGCGCCGTCGTGCACGAGGAGGCGGCGGCTGAGAGGGAGATGGCGCAGGGAAGGAGGCGGCTAGGGTTAGGTCTCCCGGCTCCCTAAGGAAGACGAGCAAATATGATTGCTTCTTGCTTGATTAGATTGATACATCTCCTCTCCTTATATAGAGAGGTTTACTTGACTCCTAAGAAAATGATAAGATAATCGGGCTAAGCCCCTAATAACGATAAGATAACTTGGGGCCACAACCCACTGGGCTAAGCCCCTAATATGACGGTCATAACACTTCTCCCCGCCTGCACAAACAGCTCGTCCTCGAGCTGTAAGGTGGGGAAGCGCTTGCTGAACTCCTCGAGGTGATCAACCAGCGTCAAACACCTTCGCGACAGCTGGGACGGTCAGGTCGGCGGCGACGGCGTCCTCCTCAATGTAGTCTGCAGTCTCCAGGTAGAAGAGTCGCGGGCAGACGTGGCCGGGCGTGTAGGGCTCGTCGCAGTTGAAGCACAACCCTTGGTGGCGACGCTCGAGTAGCTCGGCCGAGGTGAGCCGGCGGAACGGGCGCGCCGCGGTCGCGGCGAGGGGTGCCGCGGAAGCCTGAGCAGGCCGACCCTGCGCGGGAACATCTGGTCCGGGTAGCGGCCCAGTGGCCCGGGACGGTGATGCCTGCTGCATGGCCACCGCGCGGCGCTCGAATACGCGGGCGTAGTACATGGCCGTATGGAGGTCCTGGGGTCCCTGCAGCTCGACGTCCACGCGGATATGATCTGGCAGACCACCGACGAAGGGTTCGGCCCGCTGGTGAGCCGTCACGCCGGACGCGTGGCACCCCAGGGCCTGAAAGCGGTCGGTGTAGTCTTGCACCGTAGAGGTGAAGGGAAAGCGGCCCAACTCGGCCAGGCGGCTCCCGCGGATCGGCGGCCCAAAACAAAGGAGGCACAACTCATGGAAGCGCTCCCACGAGGGCATGCCGCCCTCGTCCTGCTCGAGGGCGTAGTACCATGTCTGTGCTGCACCGCGGAGGTGTTAGGATGCCAGCCAAGTGCGCTCCGACGCGAGTATGCGCTGCCCACGAAAAAACTGGTCGCACTGGTTCAGCCAGTTAAGCGGATCCTCCGTGCCGTCATAAGTGGCGAAGTCGATCTTGGCGAACCGTGGCGGCGTCTGGGTCGGCGCGCCATGGCCGACCGGCTCGGCGGTGTGAAGCAGTGATGATGACGGTGCCCGGTCAACGGTGGGGAGGCCGTCGTAGGCCCCCGCGGAGCCGGACGAGGCCCCAGACTGCAGTGTGGGTACCGATGGGTGCCCAGCCTCCGTGTAAACTGACGGTGGCAGAATCGGGGACGGTGACGGCGGAAACTGGACCTGCTGGATCGGGAGGCCCCCCGGTGTGGACTGGCCCAGTCCGGAGCTGGGTGGCGGCGGTGGAAGCTGGACCGGCGCGGCTGGGGCTGGCGCGGGCCAGTACGGCCACTGCGGCGCTGGGGCGGGCGCGGGTGGCGCCGCGAGAGCCGGCGCGGGCCACTGCGGCCAGGATAGCGCTGGGGCGGGCGGGGGAGGCGCGGGTGGCGCCGCGAGAGCCAGCGCGGGCCACTGTGGCTAGGACAACGCTGGGGCGGACGGAGGAGGCGCGGGTGGCGCCGCGAGAGCCGGTGCGGGCCACTGCAGCCAGGACGGCGCTGGGGCGGCCGGCGGCTGGAGCGACGGATGGCCCCCGGCGATCGCCACGGGGACCGAGTACCAGGGCAGGGCCGGCGGTCCGGAGGAGACGGCCGGCGGCGGAGGCGTTGGCGCCCCGTATGGACCGGCCAGGAACAGCCAGATTCCTTGGACCGCGACGACCAGATCGTTGAGGACGCCGGTCATGGCCTCTGGGGAGTAGACGAGCGGCGTGGTGGAGGGTGATGGCGGCGGACCCATGGAGGGGGGCGGCGACTGGCCGGTCGATGCGCCGGCGGTGGAAGCCATCGGCGCCGAGGGAAGGACCAGCGTTGCCGTGGAGAGGATCGGATGGCGCGGCGGCGGTGGTGGCGAGGGGCAGCGACGGGCTTGGTGGTGGTGATGACATGGTCGAAACCAAGCTAGCTGATACCAAGCTGGTAGAAACTAGGGTTCTACCGGGTCTAGGCCGGAGGTTGTAGGGGAAGGAGGGAGCTGGTCGTGGACGAACACGCGGACGCCGGCGGCTGGGCACCGTCGTGCACGAGGAGGCGACGGCTGAGAGGGAGATGGCGCAGGGAAGGAGGCGGCTAGAGTTAGGTCTCCCGGCTCCCTAAGGAAGCCGAGCAAATATGATTGCTTCTTGCTTGATTAGATTGATACATCTCCTCTCCTTATATAGAGAGGTTTACTTGACTCCTAAGCAAACGATAAGATAATCGGGCTAAGCCCCTAATAACAATAAGATAACTTGGGCCACAACCCACAGGGCTAAGCCCCTAATATGACGGTCATAACAGCTATCGAGGTTCTAGAGGGGATATTGCCGTTTGTGGTTATGATGCTGGTTGTGTCTTCATCATGACTTGATTCCATGATGCTCCTGACGGAGTAGATCTTTTGTCATTGTTTGCGCCACACCTTACATACCTCGAGTTGTTGTCTCTCTGGGCGTTATTGCCGGGGGTTTCACTTGGCGTTGCCAACCTCCCCGTCCTTTCTTTTTTCTCGCTCTTCCTTTTACTTCTTGTGTTGGCCTCAGCCTGGGCACTTGTCCTCCACAAGTTTTTTTTTCTTATTGCGTTGTGCTTCCAGTGCCTCCCCACCCCCACCCCTGCCCTCGATGTGCCCTGTTGGAATACAGTTCAGGTGGGCTTAGGCCCTCAGCAGACCTTCCAAAAAACTATGGGGATGACCTTTCAAAAAAACAATGGGGATGATGTGTCCTTGTTTAAAAAAAAAGATCCTGGCTTATTTTTTCAGAACCCAAGCTTATGAGAGTTTACAGATAGCATGTTTTGGTTTACTCATGCAAACTTTTATTGCTGGACCAAAACCAATTTTGCCAATTCTGGTTATCAGTATCCATGATATCTTGTTCATTTTCGCGAGGAGGATACCTCAGATTATGTTTTGTCCTTGGTCTTGTTTTTCGTGTTAAGGGTGTTGAAATATATGTGGATTGCTCAACCTTCTCCACCAGTTTGGACTGCTGCTTGTTCTTCTGTGTGCCCACCTTGGATCTTGGAGATTCCTTACCATCTTGGTTCATGATGTGGTTTTCTGTTTTGGTTAATTGTTAATGAAAGTTGAAAGCTTTTTCGTATCTACTATGTTTCATGGTTAACGTATGAAACATAAGAGACCAATAGCTATGATTCATATTAAATGTATATCCTGCTGCTCCATATTTATTTATACATTATAGTTGTGTACCACCAACCAGAACGTTTTTTTTCATCAAATTGTGTATACTAACTAACTATTCCAATTACCTGTTTTATGATCATCTAAGATATTTTTTCTCGGCTGCTGTGAGAATTTTAAAGAATATGTGTTTCCTCTGGTTCATGCTGTCAAAGCTATGAGAGTGTCTGATTTTACCAATTAAATTTACGTAATAGCTTTAATTTCGAAAATTATTGTTGGATTGTAAAGGTTAGTGTTTGTTTTAATGATTGGTTAAGTTGAATGGTACCATGCTCGAAACAAAATTAGTTGTTACTGACCTTGTATGCATTTCTCATGATGATAAGCTTCGGGAGCTAGTTGATGCAGCGGTGAGGAGAGGTGTTGATATCCTTTGCGTCCAAGAAACCAAATGAAGAGGACAGAAGGCGAAGGAGGTGGAGGATACCGGCTTCAAGCTATGGTACATGGGAACGGCTGCAAACAGAAATGGCGTAGGCATCTTGATCAACAAGAGCCTCAAGTATGGAGTGGTAGACGTCAAGAGACATGGGGACCGGATTATCCTGGTCAAGCTGGTAGTTGAGGACTTGGTTCTCAATGTTATCAGCGCGTATGTCCCGCAAGTAGGCCACAATGAGAACACCAAGAGGGAGTTCTGGGAAGGCCCGGAAGACATGGTTAGGAGTGTACCGATTGGTGAGAAGCTCTTCATAGGAGGAGACCTCTATGGCCACGTGGGTACATCTAACACAGGTTTTGAAGGGGCGCATGGGGGCTTTGGCTATGGCATCAGGAATCAAGAAGGAGAAGATGTCTTAAGCTTTGCTCTAGCCTACAACATGATTGTAGCCAACACCCTCTTTAGAAAGAGAGAATCACATCTGGTGACTTTTAGTAGTGGCCAACACTCTAGCCAGATTGATTTCATCCTCTCGAGAAGGGAAGATAGGCGTGCGTGCCTAGATTGTAAGGTGATACCTGGAGAGAGTGTTGTACCCCAGCATAAGCTGGTGGTTGCTGACTTTCGCTTTCGGATTCGTGTCCAGCGGGATAAGCGGGCTAAAGTCGCTAGAACGAAGTGGTGGAAGCTTAAGGGGGAGGTAGCTCAGGCGTTCAAGGAGAGGGTCATTAAGGAGGGCCCTTGGGAGGAAGGAGGGGATGCGGACAATGTGTGGATGAAGATGGCGACTTGCATTCGTAAGGTGGCCTCATAGGAGTTTGGAGTGTCCAGGGGAAGGAGAAGCGAAGATAAGGATACTTGGTGGTGGAATGATGATTTCCAGAAGGCGATTAAAGAGAAGAAAGATTGCTTCAGACGCCTATACCTAGATAGGAGTGCACACAACATAGAGAAGTATAAGATGGCGAAGAAAGCCGCAAAGCGAGCTGTTGGTGAAGCAAGGGGTCGGGCGTATGAGGACCTCTACCAACGGTTAGGCACGAAGGAAGGCGAAAGGGACATCTATAAGATGGCCAAGATCCGAGAGAGGAAGACGAGGGATATTGGCCAAGTCAAATGCATCAAGGACGGAGCAGGCCAACTCTTGGTGAAGGACGAGGAGATTAAGCATAGATGGCGGGAGTACTTCGACAAGCTGTTCAATGGGGAGAATGAAAGCTCTACCATTGAACTGGACGACTCTTTTGATGAGACCAGCATGCGTTTTGTGCGTCGAATCCATGAGTCTGAGGTCAAGGAGGCTTTAAAAAGGATGAAGGGAGGCAAGGCGATGGGCCCAGATTGTATCCCCATTGAGGTGTGGAAAGGTCTCGGGGACATAGCGATAGTATGGCTAACCAGGCTTTTCAACCTCATTTTTCGGGCAAACAAGATGCCAGAAGAATGGAGACGGAGTATATTAGTACCAATCTTCAAGAACAAGGGGGATGTTTAGAGTTGTACTAATTACCGTGGAATTAAGTTGATGAGCCATACAATGAAGCTATGGGAGAGAGTCATTGAGCACCGCTTAAGAAGAATGACAAGCGTGACCAAAAACCAGTTTGGTTTCATGCCTGGGAGGTCGACCATGGAAGCCATTTTCTTGGTACGACAGCTTATGGAGAGATATAGGGAGCAAAAGAAGGACTTGCATATGGTGTTCATTGACTTGGAGAAGGCCTATGATAAGATACCGCGGAATGTCATGCGGTGGGCCTTGGAGAAACACAAAGTCCCAGCAAAGTACATTACCCTCATCAAGGACATGTACGATAATGTTGTGACAAGTGTTCGAACAAGTGATGTCGACACTGATGACTTCCCGATTAAGATAGGACTGCATCAGGGGTCAGCTTTGAGCCCTTATCTTTTTGCATTGGTGATGGATGAGGTCACAAGGGATATACAAGGAGATATCCCATGGTGTATGCTCTTTGCGGATGATGTGGTGCTAGTTGACGATAGTCGGGCGGGGGTAAATAGGAAGTTAGAGTTATGGAGACAAACCTTGGAATCGAAAGGGTTTAGGTTGAGTAGGACTAAAACCGAGTACATGATGTGCGGTTTCAGTACTACTATGTGTGAGGAGGAGGAGATTAGCCTTGATGGTCAGGTGGTACCTCAGAAGGACACCTTTCAGTATTTGGGGTCAATGCTGCAGGAGGATGGGGGTATTGATGAAGATGTGAATCATCGGATCAAAGCCGGATGGATGAAGTGGCGCCAAGCTTCTGGCATTCTCTGTGACAAGAGAGTGCCACAAAAGCTAAAAGGCAAGTTCTACAGGACGGCGGTTCGACCCGCAATGTCGTATGGCGCTGAGTGTTGGCCGACTAAAAGGCGACATGTTCAACAGTTAGGTGTGGCGGAGATGCGTATGTTGAGATGGATGTGTGGCCACACGAGGAAGGATCGAGTCCGGAATGATGATATACGAGATAGAGTTGGGGTAGCACCAATTGAAGAGAAGCTTGTCCAACATCGTTTGAGATGGTTTGGGCATATCCAGGGCAGGCCTCCAGAAGCTCCAGTGCATAGCGGATGGCTAAAGCGTGCGGAGAATGTCAAGAGAGGGCGGGGTAGACCGAATTTGACATGGGAGGAGTCCGTTAAGAGAGACCTGAAGGATTGGGGTATCACCGAAGAGCTAGCTATGGACAGGGTTGCATGGAAGCTTGCTATCTATGTGCCAGAGCCATGAGTTGGTTGCGAGATCTTATGGGTTTCACCTCTAGCTTACCCCAACTTGCTTGGGACTAAAGGCTTTGTTGTTGTTGTTGTTGTTGTTGTTGTTGTTGTTGTTATGTGTTATGCCATTATTTTGATTCACTTTTATGCAACTCATATGTTGGATTGTCAATCCACACAGGTATATAAGGAACTAAAACTTCGTTTTAGCTCTTTTTTCTTTCTGCGATAAAACTTTGTTGGAACTGATAACTTACTGGAAGTGGATGAGTTCAATAATAATTTAGCATTATTTTCATGTTGCCATTTTCTCGTTTGACATGCTACCTTCTTTTTCTGTAGATATATCAATGTACACAACTATTATTATTTTAACCTCTGTTACCACCATTTTCCCCCCTAAAGAGCGTGCCTTCTGTTTTTTTAGTGAACCTATATGACACCTTACGGTGTGTTCTTGCTGTCAGGTTGTTGATCAATGCTTTTTTTATCTAACTGAAGTACTACAATTTGCAGAACTAATGGGTTGAAAAGCCTTCGGCTAGTTAACTGCATGAAAGTCTCACACAAAGGCTTGGTTGCTCTGGGCAAGAGATCCCCCCATCTGGAGGAACTTGAGCTTACTACCTGCTCCATCTATATTTCAATGAAGGCTGTTGGCCAAGCATTCCCACAGCTGAAGCGGCTGCGCCTGAACAACCGGTGAGTCAATGTTGAGTGTGAAGAACAGTTCGATAACCACCGTGCCCTCGACATTGCCAATCGGCTCTTCGCCAATCGGCTCCGCAATTGTGCACTTGCTGCCGTACTTGACAACTGCCACCACCTCGAGTCCCTTGATCTGCGCCAGTGCTTCAACATCCACATCGATGCAGAGCTGCGGGCGAAGTGTGCAAGGCTTAGAGACGTGAGGCTACCCAAGGACTCAACCAATGATTACGACCACGAGGCGTACATTGAGACGCTCGAGCTGAATTCCCTTCCACTTCTTTTTGCCCACGATGGTGTTTTTACACAGCAATACCCCATCCATGGATCTGACCACAGTGATGAGGACGATCAGGAAGATCTGGACGTAGCTCTTGGTCATTTGGCTTTATGATAGATGGTTACCATGGGCATGGGCTGATCGTATATGGCAACTTAAAGAAGTTCACAATGGTCATCTGGAGTCCTGTTTGTGGTACGAGCCGAACATGTCCGTGTGTGTATGTCGTCCATGATAAGAAGGCACGCCGGATTCGGTTCCTTTTTGTGTCGAGAATTTTGCTAGCCTTGTCTTCTCCTTTGTAAACAGTATGTACCTTATATTTACTAAATAACAATATGTACCTTATTACATACAGAGTATATTTTGAAGAAAGAAATGAAGGACCCTCATCCTCTGCATCTGCACATAACCATCTTCTATTGCTGAGTTGCTTGTCTAGAGGATGAAAACGGGGCTTTCGGGACCAAAAGACACTCGGGATTGCTCCAACAATACTAGATACATCTAGATACATCTGTTTGAGCGTCAAGTAATTTCGGTTGGTGGGAGTATATTGGTTGAACAAAATGCGTGGTATCATCTCTGACTGCATTTGTTGAACAAATCTGTGCTTTGATTTGGCTGCACGCAGTCGTCAGAGACTGTGTACATACAACTACAACTGAGACGTATAATCTCGTGGATAACCTCCAAACAGTTGAAAACTCTAATTCTTCTAAAAATAAAACCTATTGAGATTTGGGACTTACAAGCATAGAGCCGCATAACTTCACACGTATTTGAGCCTTAAGTCTAGCGTCCAACCCAGAGGACCAGTTACCGAACATATTAGTGATGTTTACGGTGGTAAATTAAAGATAAGATCAACAGTTAGCCAAATCAAACTTGCAAAAGAGCAAAACAGATGATGGATTGTTTGATCTATCACAGTAACAATACTTCTTTTAGTCTTTCGCTAAGACCACTTCCTACAAAAATACTATCATTTATGTTTTTTTATCTCTATTAATGGGAGTTATCAAATAAGTTTTTGAGGAAATTGTGACCCTCATTGAACATAGAGACATCTGGCTCATGCAATAAGTTAACCTTCATTAAAACATATGTACCAGGTGAAGCCATTTTGTCCATTTGTCACCAGCAAGTGCAAGCCGAAAGGCGATATTCAGCAGAACCTCGGCCATAACCGCTCGCAACGAAAACATGTATTCGCTAAATGATGTTGTAAAGAGATGGGGTTTAGAGAATGTGTTGTCTTTCTCCTAATCAAGTGCCTTCCCAGAACCTTATACCAAACCATAGCCAATAGATAAAAAGCCTTTGCTCAAAAATTATTCTTGACACTAACCATATGAAGCTCAACAGAAACTTATGGTAGCATTTACATAGCGTAAGATGGACATGCCTCCATCAATCAAGTGTGGGATAAGATTATCAACCTGTCCATCCGGCTTAGCCCTTGCAATAAGGATGCTCAGCATATCGACAACAATGTTAAAGAATTGATGACATATTTGGTCAGCACAACATGGATGTTAGATGTCATAAGGTTCAAACTCGGAAAATTAGAGATAAAATACAGATAAGTCCGTTTTGAGTTGCGAAGCCGTGATCGTTGAACTGTTTTGTATGATGTTCGAAATGTAGTGCTCCGTTTTGGCAACAAGGTTAATTGAACAAAATATAAGACATTAAAGTAGTACAAAACACAATTAACATAAAAAGCACAAGATTTTCTTATACAAAATGGAGGTGCAGGGAATCGAACCCTGTGCCTCTCGCATGCGAAGCGAGCGCTCTACCATATGAGCTACACCCCCATTTGATGACTAAGTTGGGAACTGGGCATATATAACCTGGTGACTGGCGTCCCTCCAAGGAGGTAAACATCAAGATACATCCTCGTCTCCAGAGCTTCAGTTATCTCAAACACTAACTCTCTACCTGTGGTTTACTTGGCCATTTGACCTTGCCTTGACTTTTATCATGTTGATGCTTTTATCTCACCATATCTTTGTAATCACCTTAGTGTACTTGTTGAACTCCCCTTAGAAATTCTTTAGGCTCATCTTTATATCCTAAACTTGCTACTCCCTCCGTCCGGAAATACTTATCATTGAAATAGATGTATCTAGATGTATTTTAGTTCTAGGTACATCCATTTTGATGACAAGCAATTCCGGACGGAGGGAGTATTAATTAATTAATATTTGCAATTGTACCTATTCACCCCCATCCCACCCTCCAGGTCTATCTCGATCCTTTTAGATCCCCAAGTCAAACTTAACAATGAGACATACTCCAACTTGTTCACAACTTATTACCTCAAATCATATTACAAGAGTATACGCGTGTTTGGATGCCTTCCACGCCACTGTACGCTTGGCCCGGATGATTCCTGGGTTCTGCCTCAGAGATGTTTGCTTCATGTTCTCACAGAAAAGATGTGTGCCTGGCCTGGCCGTCCCTGACATGTGATTAGCCTGGTTCGACTAGGAATAAGAAATTGAAAAGGAAATATTTAGCCCAGGCAGCCTCATTAGCCTGGTCCAGGTGTCCCTCTCCATGTGCCTGGCGTGCTACAGTAGCAGCCTGGCAGTAATAAATCATCAGTAATTGTATGCTTGTTCTATGAAAATATTTTAAATAGCTAACGCACATCAGCCTGGCAAGGACAAGAACCAAATAGGCGGGTGGCAGGCGAGCCTGGCCAGGCAAAATTTTGCTTCGTCCTAGGCGCTATCCGGGCATCTTATTTCTAAAGTACATTCGCGAGGCCTCTAACCAAACACGCTCTATATTCCTATACGGTGGCTAGCCTGCCTCTAATCAAGCACGCTCTATATGCCTAATTGAATGGAGGTCTTCCGCAAATGAATTTTCGATGGCTAAAGCTAGATCGATCTAAAGTTCTCAGCGTGATTGGCGGCTTAGAGCACTTCAACCCTGATATCGATTGTACGTAGCTTCAATGTAGGAATATGATGTTGTTGTCTTGGCCTCGGGGTTTTTATATAACGTCCAACCTTGACTCTCAAGTTGAACTTGTCAATGAGATAGACTCCCAACTTTTTCCCATCAAACGAAAGAACCCTCTCTAGGTCCAGGATGAACCCGAAGTGTTGCTTCGAAACTTTTAGCATGTTCCTTGCATGTGATGAGAGCTAAACTTTCTAACGAGAAGGCATGAAACGATTTTTGCTCAGCTCAACCTAGATGTAGATGTTATAAGATTCAATCCCGGAAAATTAGGGAGAAAATACACACAAGTCCATTTTGGTTTGCGAAGCTTAGTGTGTTGTACTCCCTCCATTCCTAAATATAAGTCTTTGTAGAAATTTCACTATGAGCCACATGCGGATGTATGCAAATGCATTTTAGAGTGTAGATTCACTTATTTTACTATGTTTGGCAACGTGGTTAAATTGACCAAATATAAAACATCAAAATAGTACAAAACGTTATACGGCAATAAAATAAAATACAAGGGAAAACCAATAGAGAAAATAAAACGTTGTATGGCAATAAACATAAAATACAAAGAAAAACCCAATATGTCCGGATGGACCCGAAGTGTTGCTTAGAAACTTTTAGCATGTTTTTTACATGTGATGAGGGCTAAACTTTCTTTGCTCAGCTCAACGTGGATGTAGATGTTATAAGATTCAATCCCGAAAAATTAGAGAGAAAATACACACAAGTTCATTTTGGGTTGCGAAGCATAGTGTGTTGTACTCCCTCCGTTCCTAAATACAAGTCTTTGTAGAGATTTCATTATAAATCACATACAGATGTATGTAAATACAGTGTAGATTCACTCATTTTGCTGTGTTGGGCAACAAGGTTAAATTGACCAAATATAAAACATCAAAATAGTACAAAACGTTATACGGCAATAAACATAAAATACAAGGAAAAACCAATAGAGAAAAATAAAACGTTATACGGCAACAAACATAAAATACAAGAAAGAACTAATAGAGAAAACCCCGTGCCTCTCGCATGCGAAGCGAGCGCTCTACCATATGAGCTACACCCCCATTTGATGTCAGCCTCGGGAAGTGATGCTATATAACAGAAACATACGCCGTCGCCGGAGAAGAGGACAGGGAGGTCCTTGCGGCCGGCCGAGACGCGGAAGGCCGGAAGAAGGAATTCGAGCCAGGCCCGTCCATCCATCCACACACATCTCCACGGTCGGACCGCATCAGGCTGGCCCAGCCCATTCTACCACTGGCGGTCGCGGTCGCGACGTCTTCGCCCGTCGTCTTCCTCTTTCCCTCGCATTCGGCTTCTTTCCTCTCTTCCCACTCTCCGTTGTTCGGGCGTGAACCCTGAAAGGCCACTATCCATCCATCCATGTGGCTGTTGCTTCACGCCAAGGAATTGAATCGGCGATGAACAATGCTGCCGCTTGAAGGAGAAATAATGGCGTTTTTTTCTTTTCTTTCTGAAAAAAAAAACCATCTCCACTCCACACATGTTTCTTATGAAATGAATGCAGTGTGACGCATCGATCGCGAGCAGCGCGGCTACGAAAGAGAGGAGCGCAATGATGCACCAGCAGCGGTCGCATCGACCATCATTGGCGCGAGCTGTTTAGATACAGAAAGTCGAAGAGGCAGAGAAAGGAAGAAAGAAAGTTAAAGGGAGAGAGATCGATCTCTTTGTTTGACGTGACTGCTCAGCCCCGTGTGGGTGCGGCTTGATTGCTT